TTTTATGCTAGGAGGAATGAAATTAATTTCTCTCACGATTACAAAGTACTATTTCAATGACATTTCCACCAGATGCAATTTTGTGCTCTTTTTTGTCGCACAAACCAGTGGATTTTATTTCATGGTGCCATTGGTGCTATCCTTTTACGGCAAAGAAAACCCAAATTGGCTTCTCGTGGGTCGTCCATTTTGACGTTTCCTTTACGTTTGGCTTATGCTTCTCCACCACCTCCATTCCCCTGAACCCGTGGGCTGTCTTATTAACCTATAAGAAGTCGGATGAAGTATTTTAATCACCAATAATGTGTTTGTTTCGTCATTTTTTAACAGAAGGTATACCTAACCGATCATTGGTACAGATTGTCGCAGCTTCAGTTTGGTTCGCACTTCAAAGAGTGATTCCATATTTCCTAAATCGGAGAGGGTGGCGATTGTGCTGGATAAGTGGTTTCCCTAAAAGCCATAACAACTTGGCCTACTTCGCCTATCTTACTCCCCAAGGTAGTAGACTGCTCGAGGTAATTGGGTGCTTCACATTTAATCATCCCTTTAAGGATCATCCTCCCCCTGAACGCTGCATTTCACTCACAGTCCATCTAACCACCGATGACATCCACGCAGTAGTGATTGGGTCTTTGAGTCTCTTTGCCAAATTGGAAGTGGAGAAGGGAGACGACTGTCATCTTTTGTTTGTTAACTTCTTTTTATGTATTTGATTTTAGTGTCTTGAGGCAATTGTTGATGCTGAAGATCTACAGGCTGGGGGAGAGGAGAGTCTCTACGATGACCTCGATTACTTAGGTCAACCGGTTAGCAAAGCAGAAGTAAGTTTAATCACCCCTTTCTTTTACTACTTCGCTGCAGGATTGCGAGTGAGGTCTAGTTTTTGAGTTGCTGCAGTATTGTAGAGGTTTATCTCGGCCATTGCAACAACTTTACGGAGGTGATGGGCATAGTGGTAATGGGACACCATTGAAAGAACTACGACAGTGTAGCCAACAAAAACAGATGGAGAGATTAATAAGTTTCCCTTCTAAGATGGAAACGAAGGCGCACGTGTCCTCCTCCATCCCTTACTTCCACAGTCTATTGGCCATAAGCGAGTCTAGTGCAGAAGTTAGCTTTCACTGTTTAACAGGTAGAAGGTGTTATTTTTTGGTACCTCCATCTCGCCGATTGTGAAATGCGGCCCCGCTAAGAATGTCTGCGCGGTTAACCGCGTATGGTTAACATCTAACAAGCACTGTTAATCACATTCTCCCCAAGTACGTGACCTCGCCTCTTTCCTCTTGTCGCAACCTCCTGCTTGCTCTGGTTTTGGAATTCCAGAGGTTTAACTATTTCTGCCTACCCTTCAACGGCCACCTTTGGACAAGCTTTATTTTGGGGGCAATTTCACCTACAAAGTTGGAGTGACATTTGGCTTTGTTTTTATCAAGGCTTGTCAATCTTACTGCCAAAACCGAGATCTTGAAACGGAAGGGGAAAAGAAAAGTGGGCGACTTTCACATTTTCCCATTAGAAAGGACGTTGACGAGACATGCGGGTAGAGCGTGTATCTCCCACCGCTTCAGATTCGCTAGCTCCAATATTCAACTGGTGGAGAGTAGAAATTATGACCTTTAGAGGCTGTCAAAAGTGACACACCCATTCGCAGGTCCTCCTGTGTCTACCTTTCAAGCTTGGGGCAACTATATCAGATTCACCAGTGCTCTCAATCATGTGGTGCTACTTACTGAGGGAATATATAAACCGAAATCTCGTAAGTGTGACGCTGCAACCTTATCAAGTCTTATTATAACTATTGGAACCTTACAGCCGTCTTAAAGCTTGGCAACAACCGCTAAATTCTTTGCTATTTTGGGATACGAAAGTCCGACCGGAATGTTAGGGCTCGGAGGAGTACTGCCTCTTCATTTACTTGAGGAAACTAGAAAACAAGGCGGAGAGACTGCTGGGTGCGAACTAAAGCGAAACTCGGGGAAGCTGCTAATGTAGTGATGACAAAGATATTAAATATCTATTTTAATGGATGTTTTCTTAGTCAATTTGGAGGGGAAACCAGTGAACTGTATCTTATGATCAATGGTCCTTCGGTTCCGCTGCATCTGTGTTTGGCATGTGCTCTCCCTCTACATCCTTTCTTCTCTCATTCTGTGACTTTTTTGTCGAGAAATTTTCACGGCTTTGATCAGGGGAAAGGGATGCAGGAGAGATCACCACTCGTAGGAGTAGGGGATGAA